AAATATGTTTGCTGTGACATTTTGTTGGATGTAAGTTGTTGTTAGTTTTAAGTAGTAGGGTATGTGTTTGATTGTCAGATCGAAAATGTTGAATTGCTTAACAGTCTGAAATATTATGTAGAAAAGTTAATGGCGACTACAGGCTAAATCAGCAGTAGAAACTGTGTAACGGTAACAGCACATCAGCACTAACATCTGCATTATCGATATTTTGATTGGACAAACTCTGACGTGGACGATTATCGCTTCATTTTTTATTTTTTTATTTTTTATTTTTTATTTTTTTTTTTTTTTGTCGGCGATTATTGTTGTCAACTTTTTTCTTCTCTTTTTTCTATTCGGCTATCTTGGAATCGATATGTTTTTTCTAATGATCAGTGTTACTTTTGTTTCACCATCCATTTTTCAAAAAACAAGAAAAAAACTGTTATGTAACTTACCTTAGTTATCATTTTTTTTCTTGTTTCACCCTTCCAATTTTTTTAAAGCTTTTACCGCTACTCTTTTTTTCTTCTTTTTTTTTTTACTTGTTCATCTTTGGTTGTCGTGTTGAACAGTTCAAAATTGTCGTGACCAGAAAAAAAAAACTGAAATACGATGACAAACTGTGACACTAATGGAACCTGTGCATGTGCATTCATATATAGGTGTTCGTACATTGACGTATGCATACGTATTTGTGTGTTTGCGTGTGTTCGCTGTTAAATTGGTTTGGCTGCACACTGTCGTTGATACGCTGAACATTTTTCCAATGGACTAAACAGCTAACGTATTTTATTATGTTATTTATTTATTTTTTCCACTATTTTTCTTCCCAGTTGCTAAAGGATCAGTGAATAGAGGAATAAAGAACACAAATACGTTAACAACATTGAGAACAACAAATTTAGAAAGTTTTTTTAAACTTTTGTATCATATTTTCAAGAATTGTATTTTTTTTTTTGCGCGACTTTTATCTCTTTATTATTGTTTGATTTGAATTTTTCATCTTATCGCAATTTTTTCCGCTAGGGTTCTTTTTCGTTTTCAATTTGGCCTTCTTCTCACGTTCAATAATTTTGTAGTTGTTATTCAAAATTTCCCTTTTTATTTACCATACGTAATGTATAACATATATTGTATATCTTTGGAAATACTTGGTTTTTTATTTTTTTTTCAACTTTTTCTGTTGCTGTCGTCTGTTTGTTTGTTTGTCTGTCGAACAGAAACCACGAGCATTCAGAAGCGTAACAATAACGGGCAACAGCGTTGGGCGAAGTTAGCAAGAAATGGAGTGAAGCTTTATTTCGTAGCTTCACTTCTTTGCCTAACAACGTAACAAACAGATTTTGTTTCGTATATTAGCGCATTGAAATGTATGTTATGAAGAAAAGTTGATGAGGTTATGTATGACCTTCGTTTCTACCGTCCTTCTTTTTTGTCTTTCCTGTATTTGTTTTTTTCTCACATCGTGTACTCTTTTTTTTTCGAGAAGAGGAGGGTGCGATAGTAGCGATATACTGATGATAATGATAGTAAATCACCGTTTATTGGACGCTTCATATTATGACTGTTGATTATTTTATGTATCTGTCTGTATTTAAACGTCTGTGCGTCTGTAGGGTTGTAGTTGTTGTTTGGTGACGGAAAAATGGGTGTTTCTGTACAGGTGTGTCTGTGTTTACGAATGAATTATACTGAAACTCAAACTGAATTTGTACAAGTGATGATGATATTCAGCATCGACTGCATGACGATGTGACAGAAGAATCTCGCTTAAATGCTGGTGCAACGGTGCTCGTCAAGGTGACAGTGATAAAACACTGGTGAAAATAATTTTGGAGATGTTGGTAGTGGTGGTATTGTTGTTGGTATTTCTGCCAATCAGTCCGGCAAAATTACTGGATACTGGAAATTGTAGAGCAGTTATTGAAATAGTGAAAAAAATTGTTTATTTTCTATTCTTTTTCAGAGTTATATATTCTAAACAGATTTATCTGACTGGTATTTGTTTTGTACATTTGGTTCATAGTTTATTTGCAGTTAAAAAAAATTATTCAGGGGTAAAATTATTTAGGGGTAAACGAAGACAATAATTTCTGACGAATGTAGTTTAGTTGGCTGAAAATTTATAGGGGTAGGAAGTTGGACTGAGGTATAGCGGTATAGGCGGTAAAAGTGGTAAGGATGTTTGATTGAGGAATTTTGAGTGTTTGGTGGAATTTTAAGGACGACTTTCTTTCTTGAGATTTGATAAGAAGAATTCAAGAAGCAAGTAATTTGGTAACGTTTGATAAACACTATAGAAAGCAGTTGATATTTGTCTCTTCATTTTTTTTTTTACTTTTATCTCATCAGTCTACGGATGGCAAAGAGACCCGTAGGATGTTGCATAGTGTTTAGTCCTTGTCACTTTGTGACAAAACCTGCTTTTTGGGTTTCCATCGTTTATTTTTGGGCTGCTTTTTATTTCTTGCTTGGATGCATGTTTATTTCTTCCGCAATTTTATCCATTTCTTCCAATATGTTTAAGGTGGTAAATGGATGAAATAGGAAGGAGTATTGGAATAGCTGATCAAACTTCAACATTTCCATTACTATCATCTATCTAGTGGGTGGCAGCGCCACCAATGGTGATAGCAGCAGTTACGGCGTTAACGTCATTTTTGGTTCCATTCAAAATCATTGATACTTACACAGAAGTTAGACAGATTTTTTATTATGCTGAGTAAACGGAAGAACGTGCTTTTTTTTCACCTTCATTTTTTTCAATGGTTTTTTCATATTACAACCTTTTTCTTTTAATTTTTTTCCTCTGTATGTGTCATCTGCTTCTGCTTCAAATACTGTAGCCAGCATTGGAACGTCGACTGCTGAAGCAGTTTTTTTTTCAAAATTTCATCTTTTTTAATTTTTCATATTTATTGATCACTTGGCAGCGGTTATTATTATTATTATTGTTATACTTTTTGTGTGATCATTTTTAGTAGCTGTCGCTTGTATCATAGGGAAAAAATTGGTTTATGAAGTGTTGGCGACAGTTTTAAACCGCATAACATTTTTGTTGATTTGGTGAAGTTAAAAGAAATAGCAAATTTTTGTTTCGCGTTTTCTGAGGCAGTCCTGTCGTTTCCAAACAATTTTTATGTAGTTTTTGTTTTTTGCCTCACAACTGGAATCGGGGAAAACAGCTACAAGAAGAGTCTGTTGTAGTTTGTACCCATCATTTATCTACTTAATCTGATTTATATTTCTTCTGCTCACCTATTGATCTTCCTGCCATCTACACAAAAAATTTATTCAGTCATCTGATGACTGTCACTGGGTAAGGAGGAGGAGAAGAAGAGGATCAAAACTGTTATCCACTGCACAGCAATTGTCTGAACCGTTTTTATTATCGGCGTTCAATTTTTTTTTTCTTTAACATCGCTTTCTTCAGTCTCTTCTATATATATTTTTTTGTCTAATTTTTTTTTAATTTAAATTTAGTTGAAATATTTATGGCGACTTTAAGATGAAGTCAATGGTGGAAGAAGAAAGAAGAAAAAATTATGGTTTTAAAAACTAAAAACCAAAGAAAAACTGAAGATAAGTACACAGTTAATATTTTATTCTAGAAAACAAAAAGTTTTTGCAGTGAACATCTGAATTACTTTTGTTTTCTTTGCATTTAGGTATTTTCAAGCTGAACATTGAAAAATAAACACTATAGAAAGCAGTTATCGGTGGTTAATTGTTATCGGTGTCTGCTGCTTCTTCATCGTTGTTGTTCTCTCAACTGGTGTTAAAGAACATTTGAAAGACAATTAATTTGAAGCAGTTTCCCAAAAAGACAATCTAGAGATGAATGCGCCGGAGTACAGTTGAGATATGTTGGATGCAAAGTTTTAGCAACATTTTTTGCGTTGTTTCTGACAGATTCAATCATTACATTAAAATTTTTTTTTGTTCGTAATCTTGGCAACTTTTGGGCTCATCGTCACCTATTTTTTATCACTGAAAAATAATTCATTCTGGTGCTGCATTTGTTGTTCCAGAGTTTCTCATGAGTTCTGCATTTGCCCTTTCTTTGGACGTTGAATTTTATGCAATTCTTTAAACTTTCGCAATGTAACACAAAAGTTTTGTGATGGAGGCAGTTTTTTTGGCGTTGAGAGTTCAGATTTTTTTTTGGTGATCATTTAACATTGTGGTTGTCTGTTTTTTATGCGCAGCAAATGTTAATCTTTTTCCCAATGTACTGTTTCATCTGTCGACCTTACAGTCTGTTATGCAAAGGTGACGGATTTTTAAGAATGGAGATGCAGCTGGAAGATAACCTGGAAAAGCAAGTGATTTTTCACATTTTTACTTTTAATTTTGGTGCGTTAGCAATGACAAGGACGAGAAGAATATGCTGGCTTGGTTATCACTGTGTTGTTACCATTTGTTTTGTTTAATTATTAATAATTTTGACTGTCTTTGTTTCTGTGTGATATCTTTGCTTGTGGTTAGTAAATGATTATTGCTGAAGGTATACGAAAGTTGTTGGTGAACAAAATTCACTGGGGGATAGATTTGAAGTTGAGCGGGCGGCACTGTCTAGTCAGATATTAGTGGTACTTTTGACTTTCAAAGTTTTACTTTTTATTGCAGAATACAGTCTACTCAGAAGTAATTTTTTCTAAAATCACCCTCTTCAGCTTTATCACTATTATAATCGTATTTAACTGTATAGCTCAGCCATTATTTGTTGTTGTTCGTCCAGTTAGACTTGATGTTTCCATTGGCAATTTCTTCTCCTGTTATTGTTTTGAGAGGAACCCTGGTTCCTCATTTCAGAATTATGTTGGGTAGAAGGTGCGTTAAAAAAATGGAAACATTTAAAATGTCTTGTTTTTCAGAATACGTGCAGCCTCGGCGCATTGGTGCTGTAAAGTTTCAATTTTCTTTGCTATATTTGTAATAAGGAACAGAAAATTTATATTATTTGCTTTGGTTGTACGTATCCTCATTCTCTACCCTCAAGCAGTTGAAAAATAATGTCAGATACGGAAGCTGAACCATTTCAGTTAGATCTGTTGCTGGAGCCAGTTAGAGGTTAGTTTTTAATTGT